ACTGGAGCACTAGAGTGTGCTTATAAATGTTGAACAGCTAGCACTTTTAGGGCAAAAAGCCCTGCTCTGTGGCACATACTAATTCTGGGGTGTAAATACTCCCTTCATGTGTGCTTTCAAGCTGCCATCATGACATCAGCTTGCAAATAAAACTTCTGCAAATTTAAGCCAGCTCTCACAAGCCCCAGCCCAGCACTGCACTGGGGGTCAATGCTATACTATATTAGTGGGTGATAAATGCAGTGGGAAGGGCTTCCCAGGTAGCTCAGCAGAAAAGAATCCGCCTGCCAGTGCAGGAGCTGCAGGAGACCTGGGTTCGATATTTGGGTGGGGAAGCCTGGAGGAGGAGATGGCAATCCACTCCAGTATTCTTGCTGGGATAATCCTATGGACAGAGGAGCCTGACGGGCTATGTCCATGGAGACTGGGATACATTTGAGTGACTGAGCACACGCACAAAGGCAGTGAGAAAAAGGGGCATTGGCAGTGTGGAGGTCGGGCATGTATAGGGTGACACTGGGTGGCCACATGGGAAGGTCTGAGCAAAGACTTGGGGGAAGGGATGAGAATTCGGAAGCATCTGTGTGGGAAGGGGTGTACCAGGTAGAAGATACAGTATATGCAAAGGCCTTGCAGCTGGAGCTGCCTGTCGAGCTCCCGGAAAGCAAGGAGGCCAGAGGGGCACCTCTAGGGATGGGGTAGGCCATCGAGAAGAGATAGGACCTGGTTGTGGTCAGGTCAGACTTGGTGGGCCTCAGGAAAGCCTGCTAGACCTTCTCAGCCCCCCAGTTTGAGGCCTTCTTTCCCGGGAACCTTTTGTCTTCGTCTTTATAACGGGGACTAGCCAGGCGTGCAGCTGAGGACCCAGAGGAACAGGAGAGTTACTCCTCACTGTTGGTCTGAGTGGGGAGCTGGCTCTTTCCTGAATGGAGGCATGAGGGGAGCTGGCAGGTTTGCTGGGTCCTTGTCCGTCTGAGAAGAACAAGGCTTCCCTGTTAGCATCCCTGCCTTCCTGGAACAAAGGGGCAGGCAGCCACCAAGGCTCGTGAGCCTGAGTCAGGCCCTGCCGAGGGACAATTGTGAGCACCCCAGGGAGGTGGGAGGTGAGAGATCACAGGCCAGAGGGCAGAGGGAGAGTTGACACTGCGTGGGGCAGTGTCCTGAGAATACCTGCCCCCCGGCCCGCCCCACCTACTGTGCCAGGGACAGAACAGCAGGCTGGCCTATAATCCAGCTTCTCACTTTCAGCACCCAGACAGCTTTAGAGATGGTGGGGGACCTCAGCTCAACTGTGTCAATAGCCCCCACGCTTTTCTTCTGTGAGTGTCTGTGCACCAGGTCTGGGCCAGCGATGTGCTGACCCCAGGACAGGACACGCACAGCCTTGCCTCTTCTGTGTGTGTGTGTGTGAGAGTGCATGTGTGTGTGTGTGAGAGAGAGAGAGAGAGAGAAAGAGACAGGAAGGAGTGGGGAGAAAGGACAGTAAACTGCTGAAGAAAGCAGCTGGTCTGAACTCAGGTCCTTCAGAGATTCCACTGTTGACGCCCCTCTCCTAATGCTGTCTGCTCCTCTCCTCTGCTCCGGTCTCCAGGACTCCCACCTCCTCAGGTTCACAGCCAAGGTATACCTGCACCCACAGAACCCACAGATGACCAGCAGCCCGCCCCGTACAGCTGGTCCACCGTGTGTCCATGTGCATCTCCCGCTGGAGCCCCAAGCCGCCAACCCCAAGACAGAACTCATGATCATCTAAAGGCTGCCCTGGGACTCCCCATGCTCATCCTCCCCACGGCCCCTCCCACCCGCCAGGCGCAGGGCTGTCCCAGGGCCTTTGCACAGGTGGTGCTCCCGTCAGGTGCCGCCAGGTGCGCCCTCTCACCAGGTCTCCCTGCTTTCTCCCCACCTCCCTCTGGTCTCTGCTCCGGTGACTCTTCCCCACTGAGGCCTCCCAGGCTGCACACCCACAGCTCTGGCCCCTTCTGACCACCCCCCTCCCCCGTGTTCTTCTCCAGGGCACTACTTGCCTGCCTGTCTAAGTGGAAAGGAGAGGTGGGGAGCTTGTGTGTTTCCTTCACCCCTGTTTCCCCGGTGCCAGAGACTGCCTGGCCCACAGCTCTGTCCTGGTGGAATTAGTAGCTGTGATGAGGGCTGTAATCAGAGGAGCACTGGCCGTATTTAGACTCGGCTCAGCCGGGCAGCCTCAGTGGATTCTGCCCGCACCGGGGCCGGAGCCCTGCTCTCACGCCCAGATGGGCTTCCGTTTTCAAGTTCTCTGGTTTGCCCTCTAAAGCCCATGTGTCAGTTTGGATTAAAATATGGCTTGTGCCCCTGTAGACTTTGGGTTGTTCACATCTCAGCCCGCCTGCTGGAGTGAAGATTTCTGGTCTAAAGAGAGAGAAGCCGGCCAGCAGTGGTGGCCAGGTGGGCTGTGGGGGATGAGCTCGAGTGGGGTGGGGCCTGGGCCTGGAGGTCCTCCGAACACCCTGCACAGGCTCAGGCTGCCTGTTCTTCCTATTCACTGCCCCCCACCCCCCAACTCTGTGTTAACTCTTGGCTTCTCACAGTCAGAAAGGGGAATGGAGCCCTGGATGGATTCTGAATGTAGGGTCTCATCCCAGAGGGGCTGGGTCACCAAGAGGAAATGGAGGTGGTGGGAGCCGAGTCCAGTGTCTCCAGCTCTCTTCACTCCAGGGCTGACCAAGGGAGCCTGGGCTGGGGGCCTAGAAATGGGGAGGGCTGGGTCCTTCCACCCCCTGTCCTGGGCCCCAAGGCTGGCCAATTCCTGGGCTCCTGCACATCTAGCCAGTGTGGGTCCCCGAGAGGCGCCCGTGGGCAGGAGGAGAGGGAGGTGGGGATTCATTCCCCATCTCCCACTTCTGTCCATGACTCTGCTGAGGAGCACATGGCTCATTGAGTGTCAGGGCCACCGGTGCCTAAGAATGGAGCTGGCTGTGGGCAGATGGGCAGATGGGCTGTGGGCTGATGGGCAGAAGCATGTGTCTCTGGGGAGGGCAGCAGGTGAAGGCCCTGAGGTTCCCATCCAAGGGGCAGGAAGCCGGCTGGTGTGGCCACAGGGTCATGGATGAGGGCTGAGGGCTAGGAGTCCAGGGCAGAGGGGAGCAGGGGTGAGACAGGGAGGGCTTGGGTTTTATCCTTAGGATGAGGGAAATCCAGAGATTCCAGCACATCCAGAAAACTGAGCAGGAATTAGAACCTGGGAGAAGCCCTTGTGCCAAGCTTTGCTCTAAAACCTGAGTCAGAGTTCCGTACAATCCCTACACTCCCCGCCCCCCACTGCCGCCCCCTTCCCCCGACTCACCCTCCCTCCCTCCCCACTCTGTCTTCCCTCCTGTGACCAGAGGAAGTCAGAATCCACACCTCTCATGTGATGCTAGGATAATTAAACACTGCGATGCTGGCCCAGGATACCTGAGTCCCAAGCTAGTAACCTAGTGACTGGGACATGGTAAATGCCTCTGGCTTCAGACAGACTTCCCCCAGAGCCTGCAAGTCTGCAGTGTTGCCGCCCTCCTGTCCTGATGTCATTGATTCACTGCACTGGTTTCTTGTTGATCCTTTTAAAGGATCAGCTTTTTGGTGGTGGTGTTGGGGCTTTGTTAATTCTTTCTACAGTTTTCTGTTTCATGCATTTCTACTTTGTTTTTAAAATCTCCCTCCGTCTACCCACTTGTACTCTCACATTTTTCTAGTTTTTAAAGGTGAAACCTTAGGTCTTTGATTTTAAGATCTTCTTTTCTATATTTTTATTTATTTACTTGTCTGCACCGGGTCTTAGTTGCGGCATGTGGAACCTAGTTTCCCGACCAGGGGTCAAACCGGGGCCCCCCTGCATTAGGAGTTGGGATGCTTAGCCACTGGACCACCAGGAAGTCCCAGGATCTTTTCTAACATAGCATTTAAGACTTGTTTTATGACCTTTGACACAGACTATAACATTTTGAATAAAAACGTTCAAAAATTATTGAGTGCCTAAAAATGGTATGGTATGTGAACGGTCACTCAGAACACCTGTTAACACGTTGCACTGCAAAAGGGCGTGACCACACAGCAGCAAACAAGGACGCTCTGAAGACAAGGAATGTGAACCCTGCTTGGCCAGGCTCACCTGAGCCCGGTCTCAGAGCCCGACATGGGTTGGGGTAGGGGGAGCCTTCCTGTGTCAGGGACAGTGACGCTCTGTGTCGCTGGCTTCTGGGAGGAGGGGGCTTCCTAGACGACCACAGCCAACCCTTGGCCCACATGGCTCCTGTCCCGGACTCAGCTCGGCCTCCTCCTATCCTGAGATGCAGTGACTACTCATCCTGCCCTGCTCTTTGTTTGCAGAACATGTAACACCTTTTAAGGTATGAAGTGTTCCTTTGTATATTTACTGCTTATTTCCTCTTGCCCCCTGACCTCAGCTCTGGTCTGTCTCTTCCTGTCATGTCCCCCAGCCCAAGCAGAAACTAGTACAGAGTTGGTGTTCAGTGAGAACTTCCTAGATGAGGGAAGGAGGGGAGGAAGGAATGCTTCTTGGCCCAGAGTGGCAATCTTGGACCGTGCCTCAGCCTCCCCAGCTGTAGAAACAGGGTCACACTGCCCATGATCTCGCCCATCCCTCCTGCCACCAGGCTGTGGATGTCCTGTTTGTGGCTCCAGCTCCTGGGAGCCCGCTCTGGCCTGGGCTGCCCAGCTCGGCTGGCTCCCAGGGGACCGGCTCTGCTGACATTGGACTCTTTCCTGGACTGTCCGGCCGCCTGGCCGACACTCGATCCTGGCCCCACTTCCAGGCCAGTGACCGCCGGCCAGCCTGATCAGGCCAGGGCCCCAGACTCCCTGCCGTGGGACAAGGGGCCGTCTGTGCCGTTCCGGATGGTGTGGTTGGCCGGGGCTCTGCCAACCCTGCAGGAGCTGCCAGCATCAAGGACAGTGCCGGCACCTGTGGCCCAGAGCTGCGCGACCAAGGAGCAGACACCAGGAGCCAGGGGCATCCGCCCACCATGGGGACCCTCACCTGCGACCTGGCTCCACAGCTGACCCCGGCGCCTCTGGGCCAGCGGACCACTGACTGTCAGATCCCGGAGACCAGCCTGAGGAGGACCTGCGGGGTGGCCACCTTGGAACATGGTAGGTGGGCGAGGGGCCCTGTGGAGGTGGGACACTTCCCTGCTCTCATCCCCTGACCCAGATGGGGTTTGGAATGCATGGGAGCCCAGCTGGAGGCAGGAATTTCTGGCAAGCCCCTGCATTTCCCAGAACCTCAATTTTCCTTCCTGCAGGATTGGTGTGAATCTGGCATTTTTGTGGGCCCCTGAGTCCAGTATCGTAAAGTCAGACACCTTTCCTGGTGCTGAGTATACAGTGGCCACAGAGCAGCAAAGGTCCTGTGGTGGGGATGGACATTAGGAACTACAGACGAGAAGCCTGTCTGCAGTGTGTTCACTGCTGATAGCGACCTTGGAGAAAAGGCAGCAGAGAGGCTGGGAGCCTGTGCAGGGGCAGAAAACGAAGAGATCCCTGGGGCAGCTGAGTCTCCTGACTCTGCCATGGACTCTGGGATCTTAGGGCCTGTTCACGCCACAGTTCTCCACCCCTAACAAGGCAGCTGGTGTGAGACTGTGGGACTGACATTATTGCAGAAGCCACCAAACACTGCCGTGTGACCGTGTGTCTCCATGTCTGGGGTCAGTTTCCCCACTGGTGACCTTGTGTCTCTGACTCTGGGGTCAGTTTCCCCACTGGTGACCATGTGTCTCCATGTCTGGGGTCAGTTTCCCTGCTGGTGACCATGTGTCTCCATGTCTGGGGTCAGTTTCCCCACTGGTGACCATGTGTCTCTGTGTCTGGGGTCAGCTCCCCCACCGGTGACTGTGTGTCTCTGAGTCTGGGGTCAGACTTTCCAAGGTGCCCTGGCCCTGCAGCCCCTCCCTCCTATGACTCACAAAGCCCCTGTCACTCCTCACTCCCCCTGCCGGGGGAAGGCAACCCCTCCTCCCACCCCTGTCATGGAGGTTGGCTGGGAGGCCGGATGGGGGCTCTGGGGCTGGTCCCTGGGTTCCCCCTCCATCTATCAGGGTGAGCAACCCAAGGCCGTGACCCAAGGATTCTGGTCACAGGCTCTGGGCCAGGCTTCTATGCCCTGCCTTCCACCGTTGGCTACATCAACCACGACTGCACCAGGGTAGCCGGTCCTGCCTACTCACTTTTCCGGAGGCCCAGTGAGGGTAAGGCCGGTGGGGGTGGGTGGGGGTGGGAGGGGTGGGCCTCCAATCTCCCACTGGGGCACTTCCTACCCCCTTAGATCCAGGCCCTCACTGATCAGGCAGGAAGCTGGGAGGGTGCATAGGTCACACCCCTACTGTGTGACCTCAGGGAAGCTGCTGTGCCTCTCTGGTCCATTTCCTTATGGAAGGGGAGTAGTGGGTAGTGTTCTCCTTGCTGCTTGACTCAGGAAAGCTGTGTCTCAGTTTCCCACGCTGTAAGCAATGAGGGCACAGTCCTTACCAAGTTGTAGTCAAGACTATACCTCGGAAGCCGGGAGAGGTTCATGAAATGAGAATTAGGTGGTTTCAAAGTGGCTACCATGGCACCTGGTCTCTATCAGTAAAGAAGGGCCCTGAGTGTGGGAGTGGCCTCCAGACCTCCATCAGTGGGATGGGGGCTCCCGGGCCATGGTGTCCCACAGGACACAGGGAGGTGGAAGGCGACCTTTCATGTTTGGACAGGAAGGCTGGCGAGACCGTAGGCTGTGGACAGTCACTGCTGCCTGCGCCTTCACAGTGATGCCTGCAGGTGACTTCACCCCGCATTCTAGAGCACTCGGGGTCCTGAGTGGGCTAGGCGGGGGGCTGGAAGGGTTTTTGCTCTGTGAGGACTTTGATTCGTGTGGACAGAGGCTCCTTTGGAGGGGTGGGGCTCACAACCTCTTCCCAACCTTCAGAATCAGCATCTACCCCAAACCCAGGAGCCTCTGTGGGGCCCCAGAGGCACATAAGGGAGTTAGCACTGCATCTGTCACTAGGAAGGACTGAGAACTGGGTCTGCGGCCCAGAGCAACCTGGACTGCCAGGCTCTCTTCCCAGTCATAGGAGCCCATCCTAGGACAGAGGGACAGACAGACTGGGGAGTTGGGTAACTGGTGGTTAGTGTAGACTTTGCTGAGTGCCCAGAGCAGACTCTTGGAGGTGGGGGCATGGGAGCTGGGCTTTGTGGGATGAATAGGAATTCAGTCTGCCTCGAGAAGAAGGGGACTCCAGGCAGATCTTGCAACACAGGCAATGGCCTTGAGGTGAGAAATGTCATGAGCGGGGCTGTGCCTGTTTGTCAAGACCATGCTTCATGTGTGCGCACCATGTCACATATGCACATGTACTTAAACCCATGAATCCGTGTAAGACCTACTACTCTCAGATGCAAATGCATTGATCCCAGAGTGGGCTTATAAACAGTGGCAGTGGCCATCACAGTAAGGGTCACGAGTATTAAGTGCAGGCACCAGACCACCCTATCCCGAGGATCATCTCCTCTTCGATCTTCGCATCCTGCTGGTGTGAGGAGGAGACTGGCCGGTTGGGCTGAGAGCTTCCTCAGGACCAGCTCTCAGAGGCCCGACTCAAGCCCTGCCCCCAGGCTGGTCGCATGCTAGCATACCCCAGCTCTGCAGGGCTCTCCTCCGACTGACGCTCACTAGGGCCTGGTTACTTTAACTCTACACACAATTCTAAGGGTCCCATAGCAGGTCCCCCAAGCTGCTGATAGAGAGGTTGGAGGTTGGGGGTGGGGCACAGCTCTGATTTCAAGCACATGGATGGTCAACACGACCGCATGCCCCAGGTCCGGGCAGTCACCCCTCCATAGGCTGAGTTTCCTGCCCTTCAGGATGTGGCAGGGGCCTCAGGGTTAATGAGGGCATTGATTGGGGGGTCACTGGAGCCGCCCTCGAGATCCTGGGCTCTCCCCCCCCAGCATCTCCCCAGGAGACCAGCCCTGGGCCAGTCTACTTCCTGGACTCGAAAGTCACCCGCTTCGGCCGCAGCTGCACTCCTGCCTACTCCATGCAGGGCCGGGGCAAGTCTCCTGGTGAGTATCTAGTTTGAGCTGACCCCGCCCACAGGACCCTGCCCCTTCAGGGTCTCAGTGAGTCTTGCACCTCCCTCCCTTTTTGCCCCACCCCCACCAATTTCTTAGATCCTCAGTGTCTTTGGAATGACGAAATCCAGTGGACTCAGAAGAGGGGTCAGGGACCCTAAGAGAACCTGAACGGGTAAAGTGGGCCAGGCTAATGTGACCCAGTACACATGTGGGCACATGTCTACTCAGCCATCCATCCATCTACTCACCCATCCATCATCCATCTACTTACCCATCCATCCATCCATCCATCCATTCATCTACTCACCCATCATCCATCCACTCACCAATCCATTCATCCACTCACCAATCCACTATTCATCTGTTCTGTCACTGTTCACTGATCTGTCTGTTCATCCATTTATCCACACTTTCATCCACCCTTCCATCCACTCACCCACCCACTCACCCATCCACTCACCTACCCATCTATCCATGTACCCACTCACCCATCCAACCATCCTTCCATCTACCCATCCATCCATCCATCTGTCCACCCACTCACCCATCCATCCACAGTCTGTCTATTGATTCATCTACAACTCCCTGAATCCGTCATCTGCTCATTCACTCATCACCTACCCACTCACTACCCATCCTTCTGTTGACCCATTCACTCAAACATGCACTAAGCCAACTGCTGAGCATTGAAGTAGATTTGACTCATTCTTGCTTTTTGTAAGACCTCAGCCTGGTGTGGTCAGATCCAGGTGGGGACCTCTCACCTCAGTGTGGCCATGTCTGGAGAGGCAGAGAGACCCAAATCAGGGGGAACCTGGAAGGGCTGTGAGGGCTCTCCGTAGGAGCATGTGGGGAAGGCATGGGGAGAAGGGGACTTGGGGGTTGTCTTAAGGTGGAGAAGCAGCTCCTGGGAGGTGGGAATGGGAAACAGGAGGTATGCCCAGCAGAGGACTGAGCTTGGACAAAGGCTGGAGGCTTGAAAAAGAGGGCAGCCAGGCTGCTGTGAACTCCACAATGCATATGGCGGGGGAGCCACGCCGGGTCTTGGAGGAGGTGAGGACTCTGTCCACTGCCCATTCTTACAGGTCTGGAGGTGACGCCCGGCCCTGGGGCTTACAGCCCAGAGAAGGTGGCCCCCATGCGCCAGCGGACGCCTCCAGCTTTTACCCTGGGCTCCCGCCTCCGCCCACGGCCCCTGCACACCTCAGCCCCTGCCCCCAACACCTACACCCTGCCCTCCCTCTGGGGCTCGCAGGTCTTCACCAAGCCCAGCAGCCCCAGCTACACTGTGGCTGGCCGCACGCCCCCCGCCCGCCCCCCGCAGGACCCCGCAGAGATACCCGGCCCTGGCCAGTATGACAGCCCGGACCCCAATGCCTACCGTCAGCGCCGGCCGGCCTTCACCATGCTGGGGCGGCCCCGAGCCCCACGGCCCCCAGATGAGACACCTGGCCCTGGCAGCCACAGCCCCGAGCAGGTCACTGTGACCAAGGCCAGGGCCCCGGCATTCACCATGGGCATCCGCCACTCCAAGCGGGCTACCACCATGGCCACAGACACCGCACCCTGATGCCCTCGTGACAGGTGACAGGATGCCTGGCCCACTCCTGGGTTGAGCCTGTCTCCTATGCTGTGAAGTGGGGGGGTAGGCAGGTGGTTGGCGGGGGGAGCTAGGAGAAGCCAGGGTGAGGGGAAGGCACCTCCTTCCTTCCTGTCTTCTGAAAGGTCCAAGGTCCTTCTAGGCCACTGCTTTCTCCAGTCCTGGGGCCTGTGATCCCGTGGTCCCCACAGGGTGAGTCTCCTTCCAGCGTCCCACTTTCTTCTGTCCAGGTCATACCAGGCCAGGCCAGGCCAGGTGGAAAAAGGGACACCCTGGCCTTCCCCAGCCACTGGCCAGAGACACGGCTTCCTGTGTCCTAGAACTCAGTGTCCGCCCGCAAGGACCTGGGTCCCCAGCATGGCTCGGGTTTCTGCCTCACTTGGGCTCATCCCTGCTACTTATGGAAGGGCTGTTTGGGCCCAGATCCTGCTGCAGGCAGCCCTGCCACCCTCCCTACCTGCCCCACCCTCTAGTTGCCTGCCAATAAAATTCTGGGGCACCAACAGCCGTCAGCATCACGGTTGCATCTGTTCATGCCACAGGAAGGAAACCTGAACACTGCTGTCAGATGCCAACCCCTAACTCTGCAGCCCCCTAGGCACCTGGATGGGACTGAAGAAGGGGTCCAGGACTGGAGGAGGCGAGCCATGGGGCAGGGGCTTTGAGTGGAGGTGGCCAGCCTGGTAGGCTTCTTGGAAGAAGGGACACCAAAGCTGAGCTTTGAAGGATGAATAGGAACTTGATGAAGTTGAACATTTGCCACAGTAGGCGCCTACCGTGTTCCAGGCATTGATAAGGTGGTTTTGCTGCAACTCTGGAGGCAGGTCACGTTTATGGACATTTGTCAGAGGGCACAATGGGTGCTGGTGTCCTTCCGAGGCCTGGACATGAATCCTGCCCCGTGGGCTCTGTTCCTGCCACTCTTTTCCACGGATAGAAAAGAAATACAGGGGTGAAGTCATGTAACCAAGCCCTTGGGACCATGACACCTTATTAACTGCAGCCCAGAAAGACCCTAACCCAGGATCTTGGGAGGGACAGACTGCACTTTGACTTCCTGTAGGAGATGACATCCAGGGCAACACAGCAGGAAGAGCCTAGACCCTGGGGTGGGGGTCAGCTCTCTCCTACTGGCCCCACTTCCCCTGCCTGGGTGCCAAACCTCAACACACACCCTTCACCAGACTAGGTGGAGACATGCCAGGACCCCCTCTACACACACCTGTGTACGCACCAGGACCCCCGACACACACACCTGTGACACACCAGGACCCAGGACCCCTGACACACACACCTGTGTACACAGTGGGACCCCTACACACACAACTGTAAACATACCAGGACCACCCAACACACACCTGGGCGGGGACCCAGACTCCCTCCTCTCTGTCACACACAGACACACACACACAGTCACATCCGCACAGAATATACACACGATCCAACTCTCACACAGCCCATAAGTCTGTAAGTCTGTAGCCCGCAATAGAGACAGCACAGAGCCCAGGTGGGGACTGCAGACCCCGACAAACGTCCTCCGACCACCCACCCCCCGCCCCGACCCAGGGCCACGCCCCTCCCGGGCTGCGGGAGCACAATAGCTCTCCCGGCCCGAGGCTCAGGCCTCCCGCCGCATCCCCGCCCCCGCCCCGCCCGCCGGCCAATCACCGCCGCGCGCGCGCCTCCCGCCAGCATCCCAGCCTTTTTCCCCGGCCCGCGGGCGGCAGCCGAGCGGTGATCTCACCACTCTAATTTATCGATCCGGTCTCGCGCGGCCTCGCCACTCCTTTGCTTCCATCCGCACCGGCCCCGGCTCCGGCCCCCTCCCTTTGTTTCCCGGCAGTCGGCCTGCCCGGGGCGGGGCTGGCGAGGGCGTGGGCACCCGCCAGCCCCCGACCGGGAGGCTGGATCCTGGGATTCTGTTGGGTGGACGCTGGAAGCGGCTCCCCAGAAACGCAGCAGGAGGAGCCCGCGACCCTCTGGTCCGCGCCCCCGGCTTACAGCCGGGGAAACTGAGGCCCAGCGCCAGGCCGCGTAGCGGGAACTCGGCTCGGAGGCAGCCAGCCAGACTGGGTCCAAGTGTGCGCTGTGTGCCCCAGGGCACACCCTTTCCCCTCTCTGATCCCAGGTTCCCAGTTAGAAAAATCTAGCAGGGCCTGATTTTCAAGTATCTCCTCCATCAGGAGCAGTAGGAAGGGAAGGGGCCGACCTGGGGGCCTGGGGCGCTCTCCTGCCTTCACCGAGCCTCCGTTCCTCTCCAGACCTCAGTTTCCTCCTGTCTAAAAGGGAAAAGAGATTTCTGTTTCTCCCACCTCTGTCCTTCTAGCAACTTGGGGGACGTGTGGGGGGCGAAGTAAGGGGTCACCGCCTGGGTGCTGGGTTTGAAACCTCGTTCCCTCCCTGGCTACAGACCCCGCGTCAGCCCCGTGCCCTCGGCGGGCCTCAGTTTCTCGTCTCCCCGCCGGGCGCGGGGGCGCCGAGGACCGGTGGTCCCAGGGGCGCAGCCCCCCGCGGCTGCGCGCTGGGCCGGACGATGACATCACCGGGCCGGGGGCGGGGAGCGAGCGCGCGGGAGCGGGAGGGCCTTGCCGGGCCGCCGGGGCGCGGGGACCGCGGGGCGCGCGGGGGGCGACTGGCCCCCCGGATGCCCCCGCCGACGAGTGGATCCGCAAAGGCAGCTTCATCCACAAGCCAGCGCACGGTTGGCTGCACCCGGACGCCAGGGTCCTGGGGCCCGGGGTCTCCTACGTCGTTAGGGTGAGTGCGCCGGCGGGACTCTGGGACGGCGTCCTCCCCCGAGCCTCCGTCTGGACACGGGGGTTCCCATCCCCCACTTCTCTCTCCTGGACACTCTGGACCCGAGAAGCCAGGTGTCTGTCCACCTCTCTTCTCCCATCACCCTAGACCCCAACTGCCAAGCCGTGCTCTGCTGGCCACCCCCACCCAGGAGGCGCTGGGGTCCAGGTTCCCACGGCGTCACGTGGGGAGGGGCGGGGAGAGGGCTGCTGGTGGGAGGGGGGCACGCATGCGCAGGTTAGGCGTAGCCCCCCATTTCTTGGGTGAGACTGGGGACGGAAGACGCGGGTGGGGGCGGCCGGCTACCCAGATCCCCACTGAAAACTCCTTCTAGACAGGAGGGTCGGAGACCGTGGGCATCGTGGGGTGCAGAAGGGCCGAGGCCCGCTAGGTCCCTGATTCCAAGTGTGAGATCGCGGGGCCTCGGAAGGCGCTGCAGAGAAGCAGGTCTTTATTTGTCCTCGTTTTATATGAACCTCTGCCTCTGTGGGTAGTTTTGAAGCAGCGAGCGGCCGGTGGGATGCCACGCGGTGAAATGCTTCCTCACGCACCAGGCTACCAGCCACTCCTCCCACCCACAGTTCATTGTCACATCAGAGTCCGATGTATATTCACAGCGTTTCAGTCTGGGGTGGGGACCGGGATCCTGGAGTTCTGTGTCTTTGTGTGTGGTGGTTTGTCTTCGCTTCTTTCACAGCCTCTTCCCACCCACCCCATACTAGGTTGACTAGTATTCCTCAGATTCCTGACCTTCTGAGCCTGATAATATGGTTTTATGTGGAAATGGAGTCTTGGTCGATATAATCGAGTTAAGATGACGTCACACTGGATTACCGCGGCCCTAATACGATCTCTGGTATCCTCCTAAGAAAAAGGAGATTCGGGAGGGGCTCAGGGAGGGGCCCCTGACAACAAGGGGAGAAATGGTGTGTCCACAAATCAAGGGACATCCAGGGTGGCTGCGTACCACCACCAGACGCTGGAAGAGGCTGGAAGTACCCTCCTCTCAAGGAGCAGGCCCCCCACCACACCTCGATCCCTGGCTTCCAGCCTCCAGAACTGTAGGACCAGGCTTACATTTCTGTTAAGTCCCCAGTTTGTGGTGCTCTGTTGTGGCGGCTCGCAGTGGCCTTGACTTTCTGCACGTCCAGGTGTGGTCCAGGCAGGCCCGCTGCTTCCCTGGGAGTGGGTTAGAAATGAAGAGCTTTGGACTGGGCAGCGGGCCTCAGGCTGCCTCACATTCTGGACCTGCTCTTCTCTCCTGGAGTCTTCTGACTTGATCATGGCCCCTTCTTTTGCTGAATCTCAGCTTTGCTGGATTCAACACTGATTTTGTAGCAAGATGTTTTCTGGGCAATGCCTTGGGCTTCCCACTACGTCCCCTCGGGGGCCGTGGCTGGGGGGATTAGAAGTGCTCAGAATTTGGATGCTCATGTTGTTGGGGTGCAGGCTTTTGGACTGTTCCAGTGGTCTGGAAGTTGCCATCGGTGCAGCATTTATTAATAATGTGTGCCAGCGCCTTCCTGGTGCTGAGGGCATGCTAGGAAATGGGGTCCATCTGATCCCCGCTCTTACGGGGCTCAGGTTTCTAGAGGGAGAGACTGATGGTAAATAAACAAGAGACAAACAACAGGGATGCAGCAGATTTGGCAGGTGCTGTGCAGAAATTACAATCAAGTGATGTCAGAGACTGCTGGCTGCTCTTAGCAGGGCTGGTGGGTGGGGTGCCCCTCAGAGATGACGTTTAAGCTGAGCCCTAAAACCATGGAGGCCCTAGGCATGAAACAACTGGGGAAAGAGAATCCAAGGCAGGGGCTCAGCTGGCAGGTTTGGGGACTGGCCGGAGAGCCATGTGGTGGGGCTGGTGCAGAGAGAGGAACATAGGAGTAAGATTTGGGGGCTGTGTGGGCAATCTTGACTTTGGATGGTCCTCGGCAGGGTCACAGAGCAGCGTTGGTGCTGAAAGTAGCTTTCCTGTGGAAGTGGGCAGGGGCGGGGCTGGCAGGGCAGCAGAGAGAGCCAGGGGAGCCTGGGGCACTGTTGGGGAGCAGAGATGCCCTGGAGTAGGGCAGTGTGGGGGTGGGGAGAAGGGGGCTACAGTGTCCGTGTTGGAGATGAGCCCTGGTGTGGCTGCCCCTAAAGGGGGGTGGGCGGGGAGTCTGAATCAGCCCCGGTGTCTGGCTCTGTTCTCCTGGGAGCCTCAGTCTCTGCACCCACACCCCCCAGGTGTTCTGAGAGCCACGAGTCCCCTCCAGGTTGGTTCACAGAGAAGTGTGAGGTCAAGGCGGGAGCAGCTGTGCCCCCAATCATGCAGGGGCCAACAGGGGCCACCTGGGTCCTCAAGAGAGCATGTGCTATCCCCACTTATGTAAGGTGGGGACACCGAGGCCCAGAGAGGCAGAGTTGTCACCCGGTGAGAATCCAGCACCAGACCCAGAACGGAAGCCGCTCTCCAGCCCGAACTTGCTGCCACCTGAATGGCAGAGTAACTACTAGACCAGCAGCCTTGGAGACACCCCTGTCCTGGACCCCGGACCTGTGGACATGTCACCTCACAGGGCAGAGGGGACTTTGCAGGAGGGATTAAGTTAAAGCCCCTGTGATGGGGACAGCCCTGCATTCCCAGGGGGCCCAGTGTCATCAAAGGGTCCCTAGAAGAGGGAGGGGGGAGGGTCAGAGGCAGAGAGATGGGAGATGCTGCTCTGCTGGCTGTGAGGATGGAGGGAGGGGCTGCGAAAAGTTGGAAAAGCGGGGAGCCTCTGGAGGGACCAGCCTTGCCCACACTGGGATTTAGCCCCGTGAGATCCAAGCTGGACTCCAGACCTTCAGGACTATCAGGGGATACATTTATGTTAAATTTGTGTTAATTTGTTATAGCAGCAAAAGGAAGCTAAAACAGCAGCTGACTCACCTAGCTGATATCATAGAACCCTCACGAAACCCTGTAATGGTCCCTGTTTCTAAACAAGAAAATGGAGGCCCAGCGATCAGTGATGCCGTCAGAGCATCCGGTCTTCTAAGACGTGAGCGTGGAATCTAGCCCCTGGTTGAATTCTCCCCCATCCTGAGGTTTCCTACACAGTTTCTAGGTGAGGACCCGGAGGTGCAGCCATGTCGAGGAACCTGGCGAGGGTCATGGCCACTGTGGCACCATCAGCAGCCTCACCACAGGCACCACTCAGAGCGGCTTAGAACCAGGAGGACATAGATCCTCTAGTGGAAGCAGAGGCCCCGGTGGTTGGGGGCCTGGGGCTGGTTAATTTCCCAGCTTGGTAACCTCATCATGGACTCTAGTTCTTCTTGTTCCCAGCCTCATTTGGGAACTGGGTCTTCACAGGTGTTGTTAGGTAGGATGAGGTCGCCCTGGATCCAGAGATTGGTGGCCATGAGAGAAAGCCCCGTGGAGATGCGTGGAAGAGGGAGAGGCAGACAGCGGCCATACAGCCCTGGGGCAGGGCAGGCAGGAGGGCAGCTCCACCAGAGGTTGGAGGAGGCAGGGAGGACCCACCCCTGTCTCACCTGGGCAAGAGGTGTCTGGCCTTGGTGTGCCTTTTCTGTCCCAGATCAGACCCTCTGCCCCCTCACCCTGCAGAAAAGAGGCCCTTCCTGACCGCTGAGTCCTTCTGTGAGTTGGACACCTCTCCTGGAAAGCCCCAGACTATGTCCTGTGATGTTCCCTAAACTGCCTGTGCGACTGGCCCTGACCAGTGCTGCCCGAGAGTCTCCACAGCATGGAATGTTCTGGCTCCATGCTGTCCCATTGGTGGCCACATGTGGCCACGCACACTTGAATGGGCAGGTGTGGCTGAAGAGCTCACCTTTAATATTGCTCCATTTTAAGCTGAGGTCACGTGGTTGCTTGGCACATGGCACTCTTACACGTTCATGAAAATTCCAACAACAAGCCCTTTTTGCTCTTTGGGGTTCTGTCATCATGCCCTCTCCAGAGTTGTTTTCAAAGAAAGTTTTCAATGGGGCCCAGAGAGACAGAGGGCTGCCGCAGGGCCCCAGGCCTGGCTGCCTCTGGGCCACCCAGTGTTTCCCGAAGACAGGTTTTTGTAAGTGGGTGTGTACCAAGAATTGTGGGAGGTTAACTTAAATCTCAGTTGTCTTTAGCTGCAAATACAGCTGATTCCTTGCAGGCAAGGAGTAGGATGGCTCCAGGGTGGATTAATTCAATGACTTGACCATATCCCTGCAGACCCAGGTCTTTTCACACTGCCATCTTCAGCTTGCTGGATTAGCTGTCCTCATGGTCACAAAAGAGCAGCCACAGCACCAGGTATCATATGCAGATCCATGTCCACTGGAAGAAGAGAAAGCCATCCCTTCCATTCTCTCCACACCTCACCTGCTGGAGATGTCAAACTCCATTCATGGCAAGGGAGACGGGCCACCAAATTGACTTGAACCAATGCTGAGCAGAGTCGGGTGCCCAGACATCTGAGAAATTGTTATAAATGCACATTCTCAGGTAGAGTCAGAAACTCTGGGGTGGGCCTAATGATCAATGTTTTACAAGCCTTCCAGGTGATTCCGACACCCACTCATGTTTGAGAACCACCAGCTTAAGCCAGTTGCTTGCATTCCTGTCGGATTAGCCACAGCTCATTTATCACCAGTGTTTTGAACTCTCCATCCTCCCCGGTGGCTCAAGTGGTAAAAGAACCTGCCTGCAATGCAGGAGATGCGGGTTCGATTGCTGGATTGGGAAGATCCCTGGGAGAAGGAAATGGCGACCCACTCCAGTATTCTTGCCTGAAAAATGCCATGGACAGAGGAGCGTGGTGGGCTACAGTCCGTGGGGTTTCAAAGAGTTGAACACAACTGAATGATTAAACACACTGAAATGAACATCAAATATAAATATAACATCTACCTGCACATTTATTTCCCCCCAAACCACCATGATGTAATAAAACAACAGTAAAAAGGAGGAACACAAGGACAGCAATTCACTT